ATATAACAAAGAGTTGTATTACATATAATAAAGCAAGGATAAAAACATTCACCGATAATTTATCTTGGAAGCTTATCGACAAGATTTATCGTCTAAAAAATTATTATCACTTTCTCTGAATGAAAAAACGAAAAGCAATTACACATTCGTACGTAGTTATAAAATATATGCGAACTCGAAAATGCTAGAAACATTTCGGAAGTTCGTCACGACAATTTTTCATGGTGCTGCTTCGTTTCTCTCTCTCTCTTTCTCTCTCTTTCTCTCTCTCTCTGGCTGATATTCAGCGAAATGAACAGAAAAGAGGAAAACTCTACTGTCGCACGCGAGTGTAGAAAAACCAACAAAAGCGGAACACAATCCGTATTCGAGTAACTTTTTACGGTACAAGGTCGTTTTATATAACTAGAAAATTTCCGTACGAGTAAAAAAAAAAAAAAACGAACAGAACAAAGTGCATTGTCGAAGCACGTACTGATAGTGTTTTTTACCATTATTTCATTAAAATATCCACGCAAATATTCTCTGCTCGACTCATTTGCATCATCATTTGAAAAAAAAAATTCACTCCGATCGATCACGCCAACGAGGCTCGTGCTTAATTTTCGAAGAGGATTTCGGTGTTCATTGCCGATTGTATAGTGAAAATTAACCCTCCGCCTGCTGTGCCGGGGTCACAATTTTGACCTGTGTTTGTGCTGGGAGTTGCTCGTGTTAGTAGATCGAGCATCATATGGCAAATTGCCGAAGTGACGAGGACTAAAGACGAAAAAAATCAGTTTCTGGTAACGTTCTGTGGAAGAAAGACCTGTGCAGCAAATCGAAGCAGTTTTTTATTTCAAAGTTTATTTCATATTTTAGCGTTTTTATTATTGTTTTAGTATTTTAGTATTTTAGTATTTTAGTATTTTAGTATTTTAGTATTTTAGTATTTTAGTATTTTAGTATTTAGTATTTTAGTATTTAGTATTTTCGTATTTAGTATTTTAGTATTTAATAGTTTGTATTATTTTTTTTAGTATTTAGTATTTTATACTATTTTTGTATTTAATATTTAGTATTTTATATTATTTTTGTGTTTACTATTTAGATTTCAGTTTTTAGCACTATTCTAATATTTTACTATTATTATTATTAATAATATTTCTAATATTTTAATATTTTTATTATTAATTTTTTTTTTTTATATATTTTTGTTCTTTTCATTAATTTTTTCCGTTGTTTGACGCAATGTCTTCATTGTCAACGAGCAATTTTTCTTTGCCTTCTTTCGCTCAATTTGCAGAGGACGTTGCTGACAGTAAATGGCATAAAGTAGAGTAAATATAAATAACTTTATTATTATACATGTGACTATTACACTCCTAAAGTAAGTCAGAAATGACTCTAGCACTGGACGCTAAGGTCGGAGGGTTAAACAAAAAAACTTTCTTTCCTATCCAGTTACTGATTGTACAAAATTAACTCTTCCTCGAATTGAATGGACACTCCATCACCTTTTTTTCGATCGCAGATAAATAAAAAATATATACGCTTGATTTCTTTGGTTAGATTTTATTCGTCATTGAAATTACACGTACTAGACGAACAAAGCAATGATAAAAACACTATCAATACGTGCCTCGACGATGCCTTGACTCTGTTTGGCTCGTGCACGGCTCGTCGATAGTACAAATGGACCTTTCAAAGCAAAATCACGTTGCACCGAATGATACGAGCTCGGCACACGGCGTTTGCTCATGTCGTCCTTACGGCGTATTGAAACAGGTAACCTTCTTTTATTTTTAGCGCACACTTTATGCACTTCGAGTATCCCGCAAAAAATTAAAGTTCAGTTCTATCCGCGTATTCTATACATTCTATACGTCGGAAGTGCTGATGCTTCCAGTTTTCGCTCGAGCGAGTTCACTTCTTTTTTTTTTTTTTTAAAAAAGGCAGAGAAATGGAAATTCTTTTTCTCTAACCAGCTGACGAACTGAATTAAGAATTAGTGTATCGAGTCAGAAAACGAACATTTCCTCGTGCATGAAAGAGAAGCGTTTCGTTCGATGAGATATCGTTAATTCCGCTATTTTCGCAATGCAATTTAAAACGTTGAGATTTCCTTTGCAATTTTGTCAAAGATGCATCATTTGCAATTTGGTACTAACGTTCGCGAAGACTTTTTCCAATAACGTTCGGTAACTAAACGAAATGTGGAATTTCACGCTCGTTTATCCTTTTATCTATTTGTGGCAAAAATAAAACGTCATAGAAAATTGTAAAGCTTCACAAGGGATCACAAAAAAAAAAATCGAGAGAAGTAATACGAATGATATTTACGTTTGGTAAAAGGATGCTGCATGCGAGAAATGAATGTTGCAGAAAACCAGAGAAATGCATATGTTGTGCGGAGCAACAAAAAGGGAATACAAGATACTTGATAAATTCACGGGAAAATAGAGGGAAATTAAAAATACGAAAAGTAAGTAATCCGCTCGTGCGGATTATTAAAATTTAATAACCGTTTAAATAGAACAATAACCTTTCTAAATGGAATAATATATAAATGAAAATAATTGAAGAATAAGGCATGCCCATTTTTCGTGATTTTCCATCTTACAAAGCTCAGCTAGAAGGTCAAGAGTTTATGGCGACAGTTTATGGGCCTGCTAGGGACTTATATCATTAAAAAAATTAAGTTTGTCCAAACAGCTTTATCCAAAGCTTCTGGTATAGCTAACAAGATCATTAAAAGCTTTGATCTTGATCTAATTGATGTTTCACAATCTCAGAAACACAAAATGCATCCCCTTCCGCAAATATAACATATTATAATTATAATTATAACATATTATAATTTAATTATTATAATTATTTCTTTTATTTGCATTTATATTTCTCATCATTTGCTACTTCTTTTGTATTACTTTATTTTATTGTTATTATTCTTTTATGTATCTTTCCTTTCTTTAACAAATCTTCCCCATTAAATAAATAAACAAATAAATAAAATATCTTCGTAAGATAGCGTTAAGCAGTTGATATAGTGATTTCCTTAATAAAGCGAATTTGTGACATTTCTTATTGCCTTTCATATCTTATCAAATATTTTATAATATAAAAGATGAGTGAAGCAAGACCTCGATGAAACGCGATACACATTGCACAACGATTCTAATATTAAAATAATTTATTCTATTCAGATGTTGGCGCAGTACAATTCCAACTTGCTGAAAGGCGAGCTATGAAATTTGAATGAAACATTATGACGTGCATAGAGAAATGCATTACAAAAGAGTTAACTTTTGCAATATTATATAACTTTTGAGTATACTGCACAGAAAGTTTCAAGTCAAATATGTACATATAAACAAGCAATTTATAGCTGTCTATGTCAGTTGCTATATCTACACATTATAACTCACTATTAATTAAAACTTTTCCTTTTTCAAAATTTCTGAAAATCACCTCCATTCGGATTAGAACTCCCTAAGACTTTAATAACTTATTTATACGATCTAATAAACGAATGTAGTTATATTTGCAAGTTTTTTTTTTTTAAATTTATAGATCAGATTTAATTAATTAAATTCAATTTATAAGTTTCTCTTAAATTCATAACAGAAAGTTAATCGAACTGATAAATTATTAAATAAAAAATTCACTCTGCTTCAGTAATCAACGTCACAGACGTCGTAAATAATTTTACTGATTAGAATAACTGATTAATTTTAGAATTTGGAGATTACCAAATCTCCACGGTCTCTATTTGATAATAATTGATAAAATTTTCATTTGCGTGAAAATGATAGCTATATATATATATCCGTAATGAAAAGCAGCAACGACGAAAGTTTATCGTTAAAAGCATCAAAGCATTCGTGTTCAATCTAATCCGGGTTATGCACCGAGTGCACCTCATTTAGTAACCCAATAACGAAAAGTATATGCCACGAAATTCAAGGTGAATCGATCTGAAACTGTGGAACATCTAAATTATTTAATCGCGTTTAAATTAATTGAAAGTTTCGAGCCTGATAATTTTCACATGTGCGTAGTTTAAGCGAACACACGGTTGGTTAGTCTGGCGAAAAAAAAAAAGAAGAAAAGTAGGAATGGCATACGCATGGCACACAGTATATACATATATGTATACGTGCAGTGTACTCCTATTAGATCGATCGTCCACTTCATTGCTGACCAGTGATACGTAAAGAAAGAAAACATTCGGGTAAATTCACGTGTTTCGATTATTTTCATTTTAACTCGTTTTCAGGGATTACCTGAAGTAATATCATCGTCGATACACTCCGTTTTTTCGCGTGCTTTAATTTTTTTTTTTTTTTTTTTTTGTATCTCGCTAATATTTTCTTTTATATTTCATTCTGTCCCATTGTCTTATATTTAAATTCAGTTGTGTATTAATATACATTCGCGTGGTATTCATCTTACGTATCAAATTATTATTGTTGCATGCATATTTAAATATCCTACGATTTCTAATGTTTCTTTGATATTGATTAATTTTTAATTCACAACACCAAATTGATTTTTAGAATCAAGAAAAATCTCTAAATTACCCCTACGGTCCCATGTGATCAACCGATGATTTTAAATCTGCTTACTCTGCTCAAATTTTGTTAAAGAGGTGCTTTATATCGCGAGAGTGAAAACGCAATTACTCGCAACGTGCACGTTCGTAAATTAATTAATTACATCGCGAAGGATTCGTTTCCTAAAATCACATGGGCCATCGTACACTTGTGGCTTCTATAGCAATGTCAGCACGACATATCAACTACAAGAACTGTCAAAACCATCGAGGCAACTATCGAAACTCGAACATTTAACAGAGAATAATTTTCTTATTTCGCGAGACGCGCAACGAACCCCTCTCAGCCAAGCCCCTTTTTCTCACGAGTTCGAGCAAAGGGGAGGGAACGTTCGTCCGACGGGGTGGAGGGAGGATTCGTAACTTAAACGCAGAAAATATAATTGCAGATGACAGAAACACTCACTCGTCGAGTTCCTCCTCTTCCAGCAGAAGGCTCATCTTTCCACTAGCGTGACTTTATTCACTGCACCGTGCCGATTCAAGGAGCAAAGGCTGACTCTTTCCACTGCAGGGGTGTAGTCCTTTCGATGATCCTCCGCAGGACTAGCAGAAACGATACCGCGGCCGTACACGTTGCGCGCGCGCTCTTTCTCTTCACCGCACCAGGCATCCTTTTCTCGGCGATATTTCCGCCTTAATATAATGGCCGTGATGCTTGGAAATGCGCCGCTAGGCGGCCCATTTCCTCATTGGCGCACGTCCCGCCGTGACATTTTTGTCCGCGAACTACGAATTTCGATTTCAATCGAACGTAATGAAAACACGTACGAATTATTCTGTACACACCTGCAGACGTTACGTATTTCAGACTGGGAATATCGATGTAATGTACAATATGTCGATAAAATACGTTTGTTGGTGATTCGTAATGAAAGCGACGAGAACTTGTCTTCCTTTGTCACGTAATCTCTTTTCGTTGTTACATTGTAGAATAAAATAAAGTGGCATAAACTTCGGCGATAAAGATAATTATTATATACTATCATTTGTTTCATTCGCAAAAATGTTCGTTTCTCGTTCGATTGGATCACTGCGTATTATAAATTTTAGCATTCGATCTGCAGAGAATTTCGTTTGGAAATCTTCGTACATGGAATTTCTAGAACAAACAGAATATAAGAAGAAAGATTAGAATTTGATTAGAAAGCGGAAAAATCATACAAGTTGCAAATTCCTTTTGATCAGCTTTTTCTTGCGAATGAAGAGTTTATTTATATAAAATAAAACTCAAGATTAAAAAGACAAGCGAAAATTTGATTATAGACACTGAAATACTAGCGCCAGGTAGCGGTAGCAGCTAGAACTAACCAACTATCATTATCCTTGTCGAACATTATTGTTCTCTTTGTCTACGAAGAAATAATGCACTGACATCTATCCATAATTGTTGAAATTAAAGTCTATAGTAAAGAAAATAAAGAAATTAAAATGAAATCAAAGATACACTTTGTTTGTGTCTGTGTTGATGTATTTATAAGCCTGTAACACATAATGTTAATTTATGTAGAAAATAATTATATTGCAATCAAAAATTAAATTGGCATCTAAGAATAGTTATACAAATAAGAAAGCGTCCACGTTTAATTCAATAAATAATTTTCAATGCAGATATAACAATATTATTCATATTTTTTTATTTTAGTTCCTATTACCAGTAGCGCTGCGATGCAAAACTTGCCTAAATCGATATGGTAGGATGTGATACGAAAATGGTACGAGGGTCAGGTGATTCTCAACATGCGACGAGATCTCGTCTGTGACACGAGGCACAAAAAGCATTTGATGTCCCATTTATTAAAATAAAATCATAAAATATTGAATTGGAGTCATTTTCAACATTTAAAATAATTGGATTTCAAAGTAATTTAATTTATTTATTATACTACTGCCGATGTATCATTAGAAAATTCGTGTATAGCCAATTATAAAAAATTCGTAACAGCCAAAAAATGAAATATATATATAAAAATAATAAAAACTGGAACATAATATTCAATTATTAATGTAAATAAATCAAATAAATATTTACTATAAAAAAAATGAAGTTCATCCTTTTCAACCAATTCGCTGTATGATGAAAATTTCTGAAATATAGGTTAAGAATGCAACCGTTTCGTTTTATCGTTACATGTGAACAGCGTATAAAGTACAGTACGTTCATTTCTCCTACTATACACCGATACCCCGCCCAAATACAACTTGATGTAACAGATTCTAATACACTGAGTAATACGTGTGTTTGAGATGACTACGTCGTCTCGTTAATGCTACTAAAACATTACATATGTTATTAATAAACACAAGGTTCAATTAACGACAAGTGGAAGAATAATAAGTAAAGGGACTATTCGAAGGTATGTATTATATAACATTAATATTATTTTTATTTGTTCAAATTAAGGTTCTCTGACTTCTTTTCTTACGAGCTCGTTACACATTTCTGTGTGAGAATAAAGCATTATTATATTTTTTTACAAATATCACTTATCAATATAATTGATAATATCAATGGTAAACAACACATACATATGTACTTTAAAGTAACCCCAATTTCATAATATTACCTTACGCCACGCCTTCACTAATTGTAAGTACTTCAAGTACAAATGACGCGAGATTCGCATCATTAAAAAATGGAATTTCTGAATTAGAAAGATGTAGAACATTATTTAATTTTATGAATAATGTACTTTCTAAATCTCTTAAACGATGTGCATTCATTTTAAGTGACAAATGTATTATTTTTAAATTTTGAACAATGCTGTGCGAATAAAATGTATTTATTCTCTTTAATCAATTCTTGAATTATTGACATTCCAAGAAATTTTTGTGAAAGTTTAAGCATTGAAGGGAAAATTATCTTTGTTTTTTTTCAGAAGAATCTCAGTCTAAAATTTATAAAATGTCCATTTTAGACGAGCGGGAAGATTATCTGAAGAATCCATTCTTTGTGAAGCACGAGTATGGTGATTTTACCCCATTTTATGTCGCTGTCACTATCTGTTCCGTAATATTTGCATTGCTGTGCATTCTGAACATTGGATTTTGTTGGTGTTCCCGTCATAGAAATTATTGGCAGAGTCCTCATACTGGTAAATTTTATAAAATATTTTATTTATATTGTTTTCCAGTTGGTTTTATAATTTTTTCTTTTTTTTTTTATACAATTAGGAAATAGATGGCTTCAACCATTGTGGACAGTATTGCCACATAAGACACCACCTTTAGACTTAAGTGAGTTAGAACCAGGACGCCTTAACACACAAGAGAAACAAGAGGTTTTACAATATCATAATCCAAAGCCATATAGAAGTGCAGCACAAACACAAGAATATATGGAGATGCAGAAACGTGAGAGTGAAATTTAATTAGATACTACTCTTGATATTATGCATATACACACATTTGCAAACTCTCAAAAGCACTAACATTGAATTAAGAACACAATTGTTTTACATTCATACAATTGTAATAGCCAAAATTGAAAAAGTAGTAAGTGTACAAAGTGCACGAGGTAAAAACTATATATACTTCCAAAACAACCACTCAAAGTAGAAAATCACACCAAGATGGGGTTGCACATTTTTTGGCCAGCAACTGCTTGTTTAACTCTTTTTGTTGTCTGCGTAATAATAGTTTTATTACGATACGGTTCACGTATCTGTAAACTGCGGCACGCACCGTTGCCATCTGATCAGGAGTGGGAAGAAAAGGCATATTCTCGAAATCTTTCAGTTTCTGTGACCTAAAATTGAGTAAATGTGTGTGTTTCTATGTTTTCATATCATGTTAAAGATCGGTTGCGTTAGAAAAGGATTTAAATTAGAATCTATTTTAACTCAAAACTACATGCTTGTTATACATTTGAGATCTGACAATTTTTCATAATCATTCCTTTAAGAAAATTGCTTGAATATACATGCGCAGGGTAGCATCAGTTTTCTACTTTAAGATAATGTAATTATGTGCCTTAAAAATGTACCCGTGTTTTTTATATGTTACCTTTTATACGTAGAGTAAGAAATTTTAATGAATGTCCGTCCATTTAAATTCTAGTTACAATTTGTGTCGTGAAAATTGGTAAAACATTTTGTTTTCATTACGATAATTTCTAAACGTATAAAATACATCAATTTATTTAAACAATGGCAATTGTAACCAGCAATAATTTTAAGAATAAAAGCAATAATTAATAAAAAAACAATAATTTTAAGTTGAAGTAAAATATAGACCATGACACAAAGTATTTGCGAAAGAAGACTAAAAAACCAAATCCGTCCGATTTTCTAAGATTTTGTGTAATGACAATTTTATCATTAACTGCGAACTTTTGTATTTTTTATATGTATTTCATATAAATAAAAAAATGCTTATATTTACATAAAATATGTGTGCATTTTATGCTCTCTACCAATTAGAAATTCGGATCAATTTGTCTCTAAAACTAAAAACACTTGAAAAATTGATCAACAATTTTGTATATATATATAATATTTAGTTTTTATTGACAACATTGGATTTTTATTACATGTGTAACGGTTACACAATTATTTAATAAGTAAGTAGATACATTATACAATTTTTGCGTTCAGTTATAACGTCAGCTTGTAAATAAATCACTGACGACGATTTCCCACAAACTACGAGATATTTGATTTAGGAAATATGAACTTGATTCGATTGCCTAGGCAACTAAAACCTGAACTTCCTATTGAAAACATTTCTCTTTCGAACATTTCCCCTCCTTAACCAACTAATATCTTCCGCTTACTTTTGATCTGGTTTAAATTCGTTTGCTACTACTACATAGGGAGGTACCGAGGAGAACAGAATTTGTTTTCTCCCATTTATCGTTTGATTTCAAATTCGCTAAACGAGCTCAATCTATCAACGTGAACACACGAACGATTTAAAAAACTTTGAACGGCATGATCAAACGATTGATATAACACTCTTGGAAAGACTTTTGATTATGTTGCAAGTACAATGATGGATCGAAATTTGAAGGAAAAAAAAAAAACAATTGACGCACGTTTTCTCTCGCAATGGTTCAACTTCAAACTCGCGTTAAAGAACAATTTAATTTCTAATCTTTAGCGTACCTCCTATCGATATTATGCTATGTTACAATGCGTTTAAAACACGAAGAACTTCCATCGAGTTCCACACAAAGAGAGGTCAAGCATGTTATTATTTAATTACGGTTTAGTAGACGTTTACTGATAATTAACTGGAAGAAACCATAGAACGTAATACTATCTTATCCTATCGATAGATTCGTTTTTTTCGCTTTTTCCTTTTTTTTTTTCTTTTTTATGCATAATGATGATATGATGTACATATGTAGTCTAATCTACGATCATTGATACCGATCATCAATACCATCGATCCGTATAGTACGTGTATTCGCTGAATTGTTCTCCTTCTTTTTTTTTTTTTTTATTTTATTTTATACAGAGATACATCGTATATACTCGGTATCATTACCTGAATCAGCTGACTTTACTTTTGCCAAACTTTTCTCTCGTTTTGTATACATCTAGACTTAAAAACAAATACAATCTTGTATTGGGGAGAGGGAAGGGTTTGATTTCTATAGTTTCAATGGAACACCTCGTAGAGACGAGTTCTCACTTGACATATCAATTAGCCCCCGTATCTACGAGACGCCTGAGACTTTTGTATTATGTTAATTTGATTTTGATGCTCATTTGGCTTCCGTTATTATTAAGTTTTCCATTCAAAGATAATACGAGACACATATAACGACTGTATATATATCGACGTTTCGTTTTTATGCATGGTTCACGTCTTGTCGAGAAGAATCATTGGTACATATCGGGGCAAAATTGGTAATAATTATTAAATCGTGCTTATTACGTAGGTCACCGAAATTCCCAAACTTATGGACGCGGCATTTTTTTTTTTTTTCGCTCAACGCTTTTCAATTTATTTCGTTTTTTAACGATCGTGTGAAATATTCATTTATCTTCGATTAGTACAATTCCAATGTCCTTGTAGACAAAACTAGCTTTCCTCTTTTATAAAGAAATACCTCGATTATATCCTAATAAAAATGAGACGCTTTCGAAAGCGTCCGAAAAAGTTTGGAAATCTTTGGATGTAGACATAGTTGACATCGAACACTATATATTACCTATGTGATAATCAGGGGAGAGATATAACTCTCTGTTTATAAACATTGTACCTGGTTTTAAGTATAAATATCATGAAATGAAAAAAAAAAAGAATAAACCGAACAAGGGAGTCAGCATGAAACATATTGGACGCGTACGAGTATGCGCGGAAAAGAACTATAACAAGGGTTCAACGAATCGAATGTTCGCGCCAACAGCGAAATCATTTGTCACTTTAGAGTATCGAGGAAGACAAAGTTAATGGGCATTTTAAAAACACAGAGACCATATATATATATATATATATATGATCAATCGTATATTCTTTCTTTCTTTCGATCTTTCGACGCATTTTAAAAGAATGGTGGCAAACTATCTCTAATTGGGGATTTCTATGCACACTATAGTCGATAATCATATAACGTTGAAAGTTCGAGAACGGGATGTGTATCCTAGCAAGAATATATTTCGCAAAGAATCTCAACGGCAGTCGTTTCGTGTTGATTCTTCTAGAGGTTTTATACTATAGCTCATTGCTATACAATTGTTATATTTTCGAACGTTTCATCATCGGCACAGTAGCATGATACAATAATAATTCTTTGTAAAAAAAAAAAAACTGACTTTCTTAAAAAAAAAAAAAAAAAAACTGACTTTTTTAAAAAAAAAAAAAAAAAAAAGGTAACAGTCTGAATATGCCTCATTTAAGTTTTGCCAATTGTATTTACGTCGAAGATTGATCAATTGAAAAAGAAAAAGGGTGTAAAAATATTGAAATAGAGAGTAACAAGGAATGTTAATGACTTCGAAATATGCCACTGTATCGAGGATAAGGTCTGTAATAGATTTAATTCACACGTAAATTAGCACACAGCAATTAGAGAGTCGGCAGAAATGCTAAGAAGAAACGTTATTGTGTCCAACTATGCGGCTCATTGCGTATTCGCATAGCGATTAACAACATTTGGCCACATGTAATGGAAGTAATTCTGAAAACAGCCGACATACACGATCGACAATTATTATACCGACGCCAACCGTCCGAAAACGTTTGACTGTCAGATTCACAGATCGTACGATTCGACGAAAATTTCTCCTTTTCAATGACAATCATCGCCAGTACTATAAAATACAGAACGTTCTCCATTCTCCGTTCATTTAATTTTTATACGCTTACGCTAAATAGTATTCGTTTGAAAATTAAAGTTTTCCACGTGGAAAAGACAAGATTGTGTTTTCGTTGCCTGTTGTTGTCGAAACAGATTGCCGCGTACCATCTTAAGTGATCGATCGACCATTTCCTCCGTTTACTGCTTACCCGACTTCTTGCTCGCTCGTTCTCCTAAAAAAAAACAGTTGCAATTTTGTTAAAAATTATGAACCGCAATTTTCAGATATTTGTCGTATATTCTATTATCCTTTGTATCTTACTAATATCTTCATCTTATAAAACTAAATAAATTATCGCGAGTTACGATTTAGAGCAACGAGGCATTGATCAATCGGGCTCCAATGTATTTTGACACGTTCATTCGTACAAGTGTTTTTAATGATCAAGCAAAAAAAGAACTCATTCATGAAGGAAAATTCAGTCGGAGAAAAAAAAGAGTCGTTACGATGAAGAGAGCTTCCATGGACGTACGGTTCTCCCTGTTCAAACGTTTAGACGGAACATTTTATTGCCGCTATTGTCTGTATGGCCGTATCAGGCTATCTTTAACTCTGTCAATGCCATCGTCAAGCATACTCGACGAAGCGAGGTATCGTGACACCAGTGTCGATCTTGAGAGTATCGTTGAACTAAACGCTGACCCCACAGACAATAGGAGGGAGGATGTTGCGTCTTTCAATGAAATTTCAAGGAACTTCTTTTTTGCTCTGTCACATTATATCGATGATAAACTATCCTCTTTTCAAGGCATTCGTCGACTATATTTGAAAGTATGTTGACTGTGTACACTAAAGTTATTTTGAAGGACGGATAACGTTACAGATATAATCGACATCCATTATACAATAAAATGAAACAACTACTTGTTACAACCCCACCGATAGCCAACGATTTTTCGGAGAAATTCTGTAAGCTTAGTTACAACTATTATATTTAACACTATATATATATATCCTTACGGCAACCGGTTATGCCCGGTTTATAGTTGTAACTAAGCTTATAAATTCTATAAGCTTAGTTACAACTATTATATTTAACACTATATATATATATATATATATATATATATATATATATAGTGTTAATTAATGTACTATTATATTTAACACTATATAATGTTAAATATAATAGTTGTAACTAAGGTTATAGAATTTATAAGCTTAGTTACAACTATAAACCGGGCATAACCGGTTGTCGTAAGGACATATATATATATATATATATATATATATATATAGTGTTAAATATAATAGTTGTAACATATATTATATATTATATATTATATATTATATATTATATATAGCTATATATATCCTTACGGCAACCGGTTATGAAACCTTTTAAGGAAAATACAGCTAATTTAACCTCTTGCGCTGGAACGATATGCCACGCACGTCGAGAATATTTTGTAAAAAATATTCCAAATTGCAACGTTTTCTCAGTTTATTTAAATATAACCCATAACAGGCAAAACAAAAGACAAGTTTATTAATTCTTAATAATTTCCATCCAGCGATGTCATACCGACGAGTTCGAAAGAAAAAAGAAAAGCGACGAATTGTTGTATACGGGTTCGGTCACTCGTTATGGTCCGTGCGACCAGTTGTCAGCGCAAGTCAATTTAATTAACAGAGAACAATGCACAGAATAACTTTCAGGTACGAAGAGAGATTATGTATTTTCGTCCTTTTTGGACGAGAGAGAGTCGAATGAACGAAAGGAATTTGAAATCAAATTTTTAAACCGGACACATTGGTACGTTTTGGTGTTGAAAAAGAATGTCAAGAAAGAGTACCTTTAGGAGACTTTTTGGTGTTGGTCTCCGGTTTACACCTCTTGGTCAGTCGGCGCGTCTTCTCGCAGGAGGCATCGCTGTTCGCTTTCAAATTGTCCATTCTCGTCATCAGCTGATTCACGCATCCGCTCCACGTGCCCTTTTCGTACCGGCAGGCTGTAAGTTCCCCGCCGCGCAGAGATAATCATAAACTCAATTATCATTCGCATTAACTGATTAAATTGAAGAATAATGTTTTTTAATTTTAGTTTGAATTATTATTCAAATGGATTGATTATTATAATAGCTTTAATGTTTAGAATTATCATTATAAATTTAAATTCGATATATTTAAAAAATTATTGTATAAAATTATTGTTAAATTTAATTTTGATATAATTTTGATATTTAATATATGTATTAATTTTTAACTAACTTATACATTTAATATATGTATTAATTTTTGTTTTCAATAAAGTTAATATTATTCTATTTTATATTTGAATCCAGTTTGTTAGTCATTTTTTATATAATTATAAAATGAGGATATGGTGAATTTCGTTTTAATTCTTCATTTTATTTAATATTTTATACTTTAGTTTTTTTTTTTATCATTATTATATCTGTTAAATTTGTTTTGTAGATTAAATTTTTATATCTTAGAAATATTAAATTTATTAATAATTTTAAATTTATTTATATAATTTTATCTTTCTTAGTAAAAATTCCAATATGCATGACTCATGAATGATTATTAAGGCGGCAACGGTGCATATCTCCTGTTACAAAACGGCACACGACCACTGAAACTCTCTTTCTCATTTTATTCATTCATTTATAACAAAACACTGCTACTAAATATCGGATATTTTTAAGAAACAATAGCTCTTTATTATCTATATACGTGTTTTTTGAACAAAAAAAAGTTCTAAGACAAACACAAAAAGATGAAAAGGGTTGGCCATTATTGCTTTAATATATTTACAGCTGAACCATCGTAGACAAATCACACATTTAAGGCGTCGATTTAGAAATCACAGCTGTGGGAATTCATTTCAATCCAGCTTCCCAAAGTAGCGGACATTCGAGCAATCGGAAAATATCTGTGCTGCCGCGGCAGCAGATTAGATTCTAATTAAATGTCACATTAAAAAGTTCCACGTCAGTTTATGTATGTATGTACATCGAACGTGACCAGTTCCCGCGTTTGATGCTGCTGCTTTTAATCAGAACATGCTTTCCCTTTCATTTCCTTTACTTTTGTTTGTTTTATCATACAGCGGATCATCAGAATGTTATTCGAACATTCATAGAAACCTTCCGCGAGTATACAATTCTCATGAATGTACAATTTCGTTCATAAGCAGAGAGGAAATTAGTGGCAAACACGGCCATTTTGTCATGCATTTATCATGCGAGTTGTGCACCGTTGCCCGAAATCATCGACAAACTGGAACGCTTGTCTTTCTTCATTCCGTTATCAATTAATTAAGATGTCCCTGGGTTTCTCGTTAATTAGTCAGATCCATTAACTCCCGTTTTGTGTAAAGAACTATCGAACCTCGCCTCGTGTCGCTAGATTAAATTGTATATTAATTAGCGAAAGACAAGCTTCCTATTTATAATCTCCCGTTTATAATCAATAAAACAGAAGCGTTTAAATATCAAATTTATCAAACAGTCTTGTCGTGGTAATTTATTTAAACATACTTCAATACGGGAGTAGGAATGTTGATCTTTTTCTTTTTGACGTAGAAGTAACGAAAGAGGTAATTCTGATTATACACTATATTCCATTTCTTTTTTTTTTTTTATTAAAAAAAAAAAAATTACGAGAAATCCTTTTCTGAATAAAGTACTGTTGTAATGATTGGCATTGCCACTGAAAGTGATTATAACTTTGTAATTTTTTCACTCACTCGACTGCAGATTTTTATAGAAAATATTCACAAGTGCCAACACATAAAATATCTAAAGCGGAGAATTTATAATTATTCTGTTTTTTCATTTGTCTTTTATTTCTTTGTGTGTGTCCATAAAAATGTAAAATTCACATAAAAATTCTCGGTCTTCTAAACACACACAAACTTCAAAAAAACTATATAACTATGTAACTGTATAACTGTATAACTATATAACTATTAAATCGTATAACTATATAACTATATAACTATATGACTGTATAACTATATAACTGTATAACTATATAACTGTATAACTGTATAACTGTATAACTGTATAACTGTATAACTGTATAACTGTATAACTGTATAACTGTATAACTGTATAACTGTATAACTGTATAACTGTATAACTGTATAACTGTATAACAATATAACTGTATAACAATATAACTGTATAACTATATGACTGTATAACTATATAACTATATAACTGTATAACTGTATAACTGTATAACTGTATAACTGTATAACTATATAACTGTATAACAACATAACTGTATAACAATATGACTGTATAACTATATAACTGTATAACTATATAACTGTATAACTATATAACTTGTATAACTACATAACTGTATAACTATTAAATTATATGACTACATAACTATATAACCAAATCGAGAAGAATTTGAACAAAGATGTACCTTTTTTACACTTTTTCTGGATGGTCTTGGTCTGCTCGCAGGACTTGTCGCCCTTCTTAAGGTTCAGCGTGCGGGACCGCGTGTTGGTTTTCGAGTCGCATTCCGACCATTGACCCTTCACGTATCTGCACGACGAAGTGCTGCCGGATGCTGCGTCAACAGATGCGAAACGTCAATGAGAGATAATTGAAGACACGACCGATCAAGTGGACAGAGAAATTCCCGAACGAACAGGACGGCCGTTAATTACCACGCGAGAGGTTTGGCCCTTTTCTCATCATCAATCGCTCGATACGTTCGAAACTAGAAGTAACAATATCTAGAAACAATAGTATTAATTGTCTCTTCTAATTAAAACTAACTGTCTGATATATGTTTCCTGCGCCCCTATACATAGCGGCGCAGAGACTCGACGAGTAATAAGAAATCAGCTGGTTTGAAGACGAAGAGGAACAGGAAAATACGGGCAAGCAGAAAGTTGCAGTAACCAGGAGGTACGAGCTTCGTAGCTCTGTGTAATTCAACGTGATCCTCCAAGTTGGAATTTCAGCGGCGGCCTTCTTTCGGCGACTTGTTCCATTCTGAAAAGGAGCCCGAAGAAAAGCTCTCGTTTCCTCTCTATCTATCTCTATCTCTCCCGTTTCCTTCTTCCATGGCCTTCCGGGGAAGCACGATCCTGGACCGAATAAATTTCTAAGACCAAATGATCTTAGTTGACAATGAAACGGTGCGCGCCACTGGATGATATTTCAATTGTATTCCCAGTCCTGGCCGCGGGAGAGGAAGCCCGAAAGATGAGAGAAAGAGCCGCGCTGAGACAAAAGGAGCTTTTCATTCTCCATGAGCCCACGGTTCGCGATACTACGCGCCGAGCATCGTCTTTCCTTGATACACCGATACACGTTCAATCGACCTCGCCAATGTGTCGCGTTATCTTTCGTTTCTTTCTTTTCTTTTTTTTTTTTTTTTTAATTTTTTTTTTTTTTTTTTAGTACCAATTGAGAATTAATCGCGACGTTTTTTCGATGGTTTGTAGAGATATCGAGCATAAGGAATTCGTGGAGATTATAGATCACCTGAAACGAGAAATGAAGGAGAAATATGTAATTGAGAACTGAGAATTGACATTTGGTGCATACGATCACGATACTTAAAGTATAATTAACGCATCGTATCCTCTGTGACGACGGAAGTTAAGAGAAGCAGAACCCTCGAGGGCACCATAGGGAAGTATATCATCTAGGTATTTAAAAAGTTTCGTAAAATCGACGCTAACTCTAATAAAAATGGTCGACGGGATGTCATCTTGGAAACATTTACTTGAGAACAAGCTCTGAGCCTTCCCAGAAGATAGAACACCGACGTGACTTTTTCCCTACGCGTAATTTAAAGGGGGCCACCATCAGCCACCATCATTGACTTTCCCCCGTGAGCAAACATTCTGTGGCTCGAACATCTTGCAAACACCTATCAGATATTAAGTTTCTTCGTCTCTCGAGGAAACTGACGAGAAACCCTGCGCGGGGTAACTTTTCAAAATTTCAATTCTTCTCTGTTGATCTTCCAAAAACTCGATCTTACAAAGGACAACATTCAACGCTGTCCGAACTTTCAACTCCCCGATGAGATAAATAAATAAATCTTGGTCGAGGGAAAAAAAGAAGCGACTTGTATTGGAAAAGTCAAAGAACGCTTCAAGATATCTCTCGTTACTTCTATTATTTGATCTTCTCCTCCTGTTCCAATTTGTTATTGCAGGAACGACGAAGAAACGCATACATATCGTATTCGAAATCGAATTCGTTTTATTCCGACGTGACGTGTGTGTTGATTGCTGAATTAAACTCAGTACCTCGTTCTTTGGTGCCGCGAACGGTTCGTACAAGAACCTCCTTGTCGTCTTCCTCCCAGAGATCAGATTCCGCCCTGACAGTGACGATGACCATCAACAGGGCGATACCGATCAGCGCCAAACTCCAACACAGCTTCATTCTGCGAAAATAAAAAGAAGAAAGAAATATTAGAAAAAAAAGAGAAGATAGACGAACGTCTCGTCAATCTACTGTCTTTAATTATTTATAGAGCATCGAGGAAGTAGAAAAAAGTCTACGTCCACCAGAAATGGAGAATGGCTGGACCTGAAATATGGAAGCGTTGCGCCGTGTTCTCGTGGAAACATTTTCAAAAAGTTCCGGGCAAAAATATGAATAAATATTCTTGAAATACGATCCACAAATTTTCAATCTTACTCTTACTTTAGAAAACACAGAAAGCAATCTATGATAGTTCAAAATTTAGTTTAGTACGAAATTTAATTGAGATACCATGGTTCGCAAATTTCTTTTTTTTTTTTTTTTCAAATTTTCATTTACTCTCCAACGACAGAACAATACAAGCGTCGAAACAAGGGTCGAAAATTGAGGTCGAAAGTGACAGATATTTTGAGAGAAATATCTTCAACCCAAGAACGCATTTCCCCTTCAGGGAAAATCCGGCAAAATTTATGTTCGTAGTTAACATAAAATTCAAGGGAACGACGTTCTCGTTTTTTTTTTTTTTTTTTCGTTTTCTTTTCACTAGTAGAACGAAAATCGCGCTCGAATCGATTTTCGTTTTCTCACAAACGTTTACCAATTACATTGGGACGTTATTTTTTACTTTCGTGGGTAGCGTGTTCGAAATTTACAGGTAAATTAGTTCGCGCCACTGCCGCGAGATTGGAAAGAACTAATATTTTCACTGTTATAGAATTCTCGTTGATTGTCAGTCTCACGACCATCGGAAAAGTGCCAAAGTGCCCTTGTTTCATCCGGATTGAAAAAGGTAAGAATTTAATTGCAAACATTTTCACACAGGTTGATCATTCTTTCATACGTTTGTTGATCATTGACGGACTATTTGTACAATAGACTAAAGAAGCATGTAACTAAAGAAGCAAATCAACTGTTTCAAACTTATAGATTCCACAAGCATGAACAGAGTACGAATTGAAAAATTATATAACGATCTTGCTCTCGTTTCGATAAACAAGCAAAAAAGACATTAATTGACATTAACGTAATTTTAATACGATCATGATACAACAACGAGATAAATGACACTGAAATCACAGCTTACACGTTTTTTGTAATTTAATAGCGGCGTAAGTTAATGTACACAGTTATAATTGGTCAACAACCTGGTGAACGATATTTCAACGAATAACAATATTTTATTTCGCAGATGTTCTCGTTACTGGAGCGGAGATAATTGCCCGTTTTATTTCCAGCGATAAGTCACGTCTGAAAACACCGGTCAAACAAGACCGTAGTTTGCATATCGTCGAAAAGTTTTCACCCATTTGTCGCTCGTAAATTTTGCAATCGCCCGGCAACGTAGGAAGTACTAATTGCCAAAGCTGCAATCTTCGATGGGTTCTCCTCGTAATTATTGAAATCAACGGGGGGAGGAGGGGGTAAATAAACGTCGAATGTTTTCTATCTTAATATTCGATTAAACACGGTGGGCAGACGCTTTATTTGAAAATAAATGGAATATTAAATACTTGGCCAGCGTACTTGGATGTATGAGAGTGAAACATACGAAGCATTTACATATTCGAACATCTTCGCTCTGAATATTGTGAAAATATTATCAGATCCATGCGTGTGAAATATGTTGTTTCCTTGAAGCGAATTTATTGAGCGTTAATTACTTTAGCGAGGAAGAAATTTGCTATAAATTGTGTATATTCAATGTTGAGAAAATTCATAAGAAGAATACTCGAAACTTTACTATTAATCTCGCGTGAATCAGAAATACGCTAAAAATTGGTATAAATATTAAAATTAGTTAAATATTACAGACATTCTTCGTCCTGATTAGACAAATTTTCGATCTGCAAATTAATTAAAACACAAACTGGGGTTAATTAATTTTTTTATCCTAAATTGCAACATCTTCACAATTTCAAGTACATTTAGGCAAAACGAATAATAAATTTATTACTTCTCAGTTAATTTCTATCCAGTGATATGCCGATGAATTCAAAAGAATTATTGTACACGATTCTGGTCACTCGTTACGGTCCGCAATCAGTGCGCCACAGCGCAAGTGGTTGAAAAAAAGACACCGTGCCAATTCCATTCCAAGAATTTTTGAACACTGAAATTGACAATACTGACGAATGTAGAATTTATTTGTTAGATAGACGATGTTTCGAAGAAGCTACGATCAAGGTCGCGCATGCGTCACCAATCGACAATTAACAATTCAATAATATCATCGCTTGTAATTTCTTCGCTAGTTTAATAACTTCCGACAAATATTTTGGTCGATCTATAAACTGGTGTTTGACACAGATGCATGAACAAGTTAAATCGTCCTGTTAATTAATAGGGAAGTGCGGGGGCGAGAAAATTATAGCGAAAGCAATTCGTCGCCCCCTCTCCTCCCGCTGCCGCAGGAGGAAACGTTCGTTTGCCTCTTACATTTGCACGGCAATTACTGAAATCTTGCCCATTTGTGAAATTGTCAACAATTTCGACAATCAATGCCAATGGAACAATGATATGTTTATCTCGTTACGAAGCTACTTTGCGGCGCAATCAATCGAAATTGATTCGGGCAATAAACGCCGAACAAACGCGGCTCACACGCACCGGCGGCCTCGCTTTTACATCGCCGCGGGGGAAAGTTAATTTTAATTTTCTACGCGATCGTTCAACGCTTGCGTCGCCGATAAAATATTCATGGTTCCGTCGCTTTTAAAAAAGCGTTATAAAAACTGGGACACACTTTATTCGCATGTAATTCTCCCTTTTCGCCATCAGCAACGAACCGTTTAGGACACTCGAAAACAAGTATCCCGAGCGATACGTTTGGATGGTAATAAAATCACGCCTTCGCGTCGCGATGTGATTTTACCACGAGCATGTTAGTTTTCCGAAGAAGAAAGAAAAAAAATTGTCTTTGAACGCGATCGTGTAACACTTCATGCAGCAAGGATGGAATAAAATGTACAAGTAACGTAATATAACTGTATATAGAGTGCTTCTTTAAATGCAGAACGTTCTAACCTTCGGCCGGCGGCTTGTTTACTTGTTGACCCAAACTTATGTGGGTCATCCATAATCTAAAAGTACCGAAGGTTGGCATATTTTATTGCATGCGTTTATATTATAAATATGTAACGTTGCAAAGTAAAACCAGCCACAACGGTGGAAAGTGTGTGTGTGTGTGTGTGTGTGTGTCCAGTAACTCGTAGAAGAAGAAGAAGAAAAAACAGAAAGAGGCTGAATAACGATGGCAAAATTCGAAAGAGAGAGAATCGTACATTATTCGATATTCCGTAATAAAGAAATTATGAATGAAGAAACGCTCGAGCGAAAACAGCGGCGTCGATCGAGACGCCCCACGGCGATGAACGCCGCGTTTTAATTAATTTCCCAAAAAAGAAAGACTCCGAGAGGAACGATATCGATTCAGTTACTGCGAGGCGGGAGATTGAGAGAATGGCACAAAGTGGAATAGCATGCAGGGATAGATTGAATAGGGGAAGAGGGGAAGAGAAGAAACTATGCAAATTTTTATCGCTGCGCGTTGTACAGTTAACTTTGAATCATTTTCACTCTGATGAGCTCCCATTGAAAGTATCACAGGAAAACTACCGATTGTTGCTCGTTTAGACTAACGTTGAACAACACAACGTAGACTCAATTTTCGCGGAATGACCGACTACGTATAATTAGCGGTTAGTGCGCGGAGCGTTAGCATCGCTATGGAAACTGTGCACGATAGCTCTTCTACCGTTGTAGATATTCGTAGCACGCGTTTCGTCTCGCCGCGGAAGTAAATTAATACCCCGTGGTACCCGCATAAAACTACTACTGTCTCTGCTGTTCGTTGTCACGAACGAATTCTATTACTATGGAACAAAGATGGATCGTATTCACCGTTTCGAAAACTTAATTTCAACTTTTGTAGTTAGCTTCCCTTTCCCCGTATAAATACCTACGCGTCACGAATTGTTCAAAAAGCTGTTGCTTGCGACTTTTTATTAATATTATAATTACTTATAAAGCGTTCCTCAGAAAATGTCTTTAGAAATTTTTTTTTTAATAATTTCAGTAACAATATTATTTAATACTATTAATTTTATTTTGATAATTTTAGCAATAATATTATTTAATAATGTTATTAATTTTATTTTTATAATTTTAGTAATAATATTATTTAATAATGTTATTAATTTTGTTTTGACAATTTAAGTAATGATACCATTTAATAATATTATTAATTTTGTTTTGATAATTTTAATAATGATACTATTTAATAATATTATTAATTTTAGTTTGATAATTTTAGTAATGATGTTATTTAATATTATTAATTTTGTTTTGACAATTTTAGTAATGATACCATTTAATAATATTATTAATTTTATTTTGATAATTTTAGTGATGATACCACTTAATAATATTATTAATTTTGTTTTGATAATTTCAGTAATGATACCATTTAATAATATTATTAATTTTATTTCAATAATTTTAGTAATAATTAATTTTTAATAATTTAGAAATGCTTCCAGAATAATTTTTAGAAAGATACGAACGTAGTATTGTGAAAGCAGAAACGTCACTTTTTAAAATAAGCACGGTCGAATTTTTCTGCGAATTTTTCCTATTTTTTTTTTTTTTTTTTTTTACGAAGTTATAAGAGCTTAAAATATCGGACAATTTTTCATCGAGTGTGAGAATATCGTACCCAGCGGGAAAACTGTCGATATTTTAAACTATTACAACTTCGTAGGAAAAAGAAATCATGAAACAATACAACTGAACTCATTCTAAAGCTACCTTTGCAATGCTAAATTCCTTTCTTTCAAAGATATTTTTACGATAACTTTCAGAGTCATTTTGAAAATACGTAAAGTGAAAATATTTTTCCTTCTGGAAGTTTCCATTCGCAAATTCGGCGTTGAAAAATTTCTTTCATACTTAAATCCGCTATGATCTCGAAGATTGAAATCTCCCTTTTCTTGAAACTTGTTGTACGATTTTTTTTTTTTTAAGAGTTTAAAATATAACTCTGCAAGACTTTAAAATATTGACAATTTCCCATCGAAAATGTGAAAATAGTTCGCGAAGCTATTTTGTTATTACTATTGAAATTGAAATTCAGAAAAAAATTGTAACAGCCGTTCGTTAATCTCTTATATCGTGGCAACTGAGCAGGGGCGGTGCTCTCGAGTGCTCAGACAGCAAATATTCCTAAAGATGTTAGTTCTGTTCAATTATTATCGAAACGTGGGAAAGATTGCTAACTGAAAGAGAGAAGGAGGTCATTCGCGGAATAACGGGGAAGGGAGCAATGATTTTTTAATGTCGGGGGAAACTCGCGGCCAGACGTATTATAACCTCGTTTCGACGAAAGGGATGTTAATTAATCTTGAGAAGCAACTGTCTTCGTTAACGCGGCGTTACAAACGAGAGAAACCAGCTACCAACTTTTTAAATTTATAATTAAGCCGGTCCCTTCACCTCGTTTCTCGATCTTCGTTTCGAAAGCTCATACACGTAGCTTCCTTTGAATTTGAAACAAATTATAAATATCTTCAATTTCATTTGCGATAATTACATTTATCGTGCAACAAGGCTTTCCGTTGCCTCGTGAAAAATTAATGTTACGGAAGCAGTGTCATACGATGTCTACAATTTATGAACCATAAATTTCGCAACGGACTTCGTTTTTCAACTGCTAATTGCATCAAGACGCAATAAAATTCCCGGCTTTTTAACAATACTACTCTCAGAGAATGATATTGCACGGCAATAGTATTCGCGACGCTGTATATCAGGTTATAAACTGAAGAAAAATTACGCTGTTCAGTTACATCTATCTCTCTGTACATGCTTCTAAATATAAGTTTGCACGAATTTTCTCTTCTTATAATAAATGTTTGACAATCTCGTTCATCCCTCCTATAAAACTTCCCCGCGTGAATTGTGTCGATCAATAAATAAAACTTTGTGTCTCGAAATGTGCAATTAACTTGAATGATAAAGCAATTGCTTTAATCCCGCTGACAAATATTCCCCCGAACCAATCTCTCTTCAATTTCAAACATCATAATTAATCGGCAATACGATTTTAAACATATAAAATTGGAATTATTCCAATAATTAGTTTCTTTTGTGCCGAGTAAATTGTACAAAAGACGGTGTAACAACGTTTCAACACGCGAGAAACAGACAGTGTGAATTGCAGTTTCGCATTAGGAGTCCCAACAGAAAAGAGAAAGAGAGAGAGAGAAAGAGAGGAAAATTAACACGAAAATAGCTGTGAGTGAAGGCCTGGAAGAATGAATTTTAACGAGGGGGATAGGCATAAGAGAATGGCACAAATCGGGCCGAAACCAGCGACGAAAAGTTTAATAACCGCGCGTTAATGAACGGCAGCTGCAGTTCCGCGAATCGTGCTTGCAGCCGTGTGCCATTTCGCACAGGCTGCATTCTTATGGGGTGAAAAGAACGGCCACTGGTGAGAGGAAAAAAAAGAGAGAGAGAGAGAGATTGTTGGAAAGAGTATAGAGGAGAGGGTAGAGGGGGCAGGAGTGGCAGAAGGACAAGAAGAAAAGAAGAAAAGAGGTTAAAAATCGGGAACACGTGAAGAAAAATCGAAAGAAATGGGAGTGGAGAGAAAATAAAAAAAAAAAAAAGGGAGGCGGGAGAAGAGAATGAAAATGAGTAAAAAAGGTTTATCAAAAGGGGATGAGAAAAGGATTTAAAGTGAAGAATTATAAAAGAACTTTGATGAAAAAGGAGTGATTGAGTGAAAAATGGTGAGAAATGGAAACGTGTGTGTGTATGTGTGTGTGTAAGTGCAAGAGATAAAAAGAGATAAAAAATGGAAAGGAAAAGGAGGAGTAATTGAAAATTGGAGAAGTAATTGAGAGGAAGAAAAATATCACAATAAACAGGAATAAAAGTGGTGAAGAAGTATTGGTACTTTGTGAAATTATATATATAATTAAGAGGATTAAATAGTAAAGAATACATAAAAAAGCGAAATAGAATGTGCAAGAAATTAAAGTGAGAAAATGATCGTTAAATGGAGCAAGGAACTGGTCGCAGACAAAAATGCACGAAACAAAGAAAAACGATGGAAAAAAAATGGAAGATAAAATAGCAACGCACATTAAACAAACGAATTAAAAAAGAAGACTAAGAGGACTAAAGAAAGTAGATGGAATATATAAAAGAGTTTTACATGTTGCTCAAACCTGTAAAAAAAGTCTTTCACTCGTTAATTACTTAAAGTCTAACAAGTGGCGTTATAACAATTGGATTATAACACACGAATAAATACAGAACAAAAGCGCAACTTTAAATTATGCTACGAAAATTAACGTTACACAGAATTACTTTTAGACTGCCTCAGCACGCGATTAAACGTTAGCATAGAATATTTAATAAACCTCAATAATTATAATTTCGAAGCGACGTGATTATCCAGGAAATTTAATCTATTCTAAAGAACATATGGCGCGCAGTACGCGAAATTTCCAATATATTCCCCACCTCTTGCAATAACAATTGTTGGATTAATTTTCGAAATTAATTACCCAGTTTGGGTATAACGCGAAATGGTTTGTCTTCCGTTATTAAATTTTTACAAATATTAATATACAAAGATGCTGACCGTTTATTTTATATAAACGTTTAATAATAATCGAGATGGTTGTTATATTATTCTGAGATTAAAAATAATGTAACAACCATTGTTTATTTAACGTTTATCAATCCCTGTTGTATCCAACGTTTTAACCGGGACGAAATTTTGATAGAATTAAATTATTCCTCTTTATATTATATTCTACGATATAGTGTGTGCACAGT